TGATAATCCTTATATTTGATATAGTGCCTTATCATGGTCTTTGAGACGTCTCAAAGCGCTTCACAGAATATACTGTAAAGTGAATTGATTGTAATATTTTGTGGGTGAAATGCGGCAGCCAATTCCTCACAGCAGTCTCCCACAAACAGTCGTGGATTGAGTGACAATTTTTTTTTGAAGGGAAACCGGAAAGCGATCCGCCAATCGACTAACAACCGGGTTCCTACTTACTAATATATAAACAGAGGCGTGTGGATTAAGGAAACTTACCCAACATTTCGCCCCCAGGAATCATACCCAGGTCTCACTTGCAAGGCAAGTGCTCTAACCACTGAGCTATAGGATTCCACAACCTTGGACTTCGGATAAATCAGACAAAACACCTGGCCCTGATGTGTCCGAATTAAGATGCTTCCACTGTAATTGGGAAGGCATTAAATAAACCAGGAGAACTAGAGAAATATTCAAAATTGTACCCAGAATGATTCATAGGCAATAGTTATTGTTGTGCAAACTACAGCATGAACAACCAAGTTTAAATGCTTCCAAATGGCCCAGCGACATCCAAAGTTCCAGTAGATACTGAAGGGCTGGAAGGCTGCACACTTTCACTGTCTTTGGCACACTTTCACTTAAGTAAAATTTTCAGATTTATTTTAAGAAATAAAAAAGTTCCTGCATTTTTACTAATTTTACAATGTAAAGTTGAGTGTGGTACTCATTTCATATAAACTGAAGTCCTCTTCAATATCTCATGCAGTGTCAGTGAAATGTTTGGGGATGCTACAAGTTAGTGGAAACATCATATAAACTAAATGCTTTGGTATGGTGAGAGTCATAAAGCTCGGAGCCCAAAGAATCAGTCAAATTCTCCTCTTGGGTGAGATCAGTTTGTTGCTTATTTAACAGCTGGTCAAAGTACCCCTGGTCACAGAGCTGTAGACTAGAAAATGGTATAGAAAAGCAGTCTGTGTTTTTGATTTGTACAGAGCGCAGTGCTTATAGTTCAGATACTTTGAGTGTTAAGTAATGATCTTACATTTGGTATAGTGACTTTCACTTCAGGAAGATTCTCAAATTGCTTCACATGATATACAGATTGTATTTTGGGCAAACAGGGCAGCCAATTTGTACACAGTACATTAGGACACTGGGAGAGAGAAATTCTTTTCTCTTTTTGAATGGTTATATGCACACAGCGTACAACAAGTACCCTTGGGAGACATGAAAGGACTGCAATGAAGGAAAGAGTACAACAGCAGAAAAACGCAAAGAGGAAGACATGCAGTAAAGGTTTGTTTTATTCATGTATTTCTTTGTGCTTTGATGAGACGTTAAACTGAAGTTCCATCTGCTGGCTCAGGTAGATGTTAAAGGTTTCATGGCACCGTTACAAAGAAGAGCATTCAGTTATCCCAGTGTCCTGGTTAATATTCCTTTATCAGTAAAATTCACTTAAAAACAGATTAGTGAGGGCCTGTGACTGAAACATTTAGTACCTAGCTGGGACTGTGTGTTCTTGTATCAGATTGGGAATGAAGACTGATGCCCTAGACCTGTAATAATTTGAGAGTGTATACAACTGTGGATATTAATTATTTATTCTTCTTCTCAAAACTGAACCACTCCAAACTCTTCAGGTATCACCCCATTTCCAACGGCCCTTCCTCTCAATGGGGCTGGAATGAATCATTGCCTCCCATCTTTGCTCCTCTCCTCCAATTACTTCCTGTATGAATCCCTCCAATCTGGCTTTTACCCCACCAACAGCACCCCAACAACCTTGTTCAAATGACAATCTCCCTGTCTGCAACTAGGGCTCACTATGCCTTTTTGTCTTCAATCTCTCTGCTGCCTTCAACCCTGTTGACCATTCCATTCTTATCCACTATCTTTCCTCCTTGATTTACCTTTACCAATAAAACTGAGGCTATCCTTCTCAGTTGCCTCCAATGCCTCCTCACCTCACCTGCTAACAGTATCATCCTGCTGGCTGCTCAGTGCAACTAAGAGTCTGTTTGAAACCTTGTGTTTTGTTTCACCATAACTCTCCTTTAAACCTTTCTCCTGGACTTTGAATAAATCCACTATCTTCCATCTCCATAACATTGTGCATCTCCATCTTCAAAGCAGCTGATACCCTGATCCATTGCCTTTCTTACCTCCAAACTCAACTTCTAAATTCTCTGCTCATCAGCTTTCCGAACTCAACCCTCCACAAGCTCAAGATTAATCAGAACTCTGCAACCCATATTCTCTCCTATTGCAAGCCCATCACTATCATCCTTAACCAGCTCCATGACTCCCTAATAGATCACCTTTCAAATCCTTGTTCGTACCTTTAATTGACTCCATGCATTACCCAACACCATCTTTGTAACCTCCTGTGACCCAACTCTCTTTGTTATTGCTTTCACTTTGTCAACTCTAGTCTGCTTCATGCCCCTTGCTATGCCCCATCATTAATAGGCTAGCACTCAACTGCTTTGCCCCTGCCCTCTGCAACTCTCTTCTGACATCCCATCTCTTGCTTTCAAAACCCATCTAAAAAACAATCTCTTTAACTTCTCCTTTGGCCACCTCCCCACGACCCCTTCTCCAGCTCCCTCCAAGCTTGGATTCCCACTTCATCTTGGAGCCGATCTCCCTACATGGAAGTCTCCTTATAAGGGCAAATTATTGTTGTTCTGCTCTCCAGTTGGCACACTGGCTTCCAGCATTGGGTCTCTATGTACAACAAGCATTGCTCTACAGAGCAGGTGAAAAAACACAATTATCTATTAATACAAGACTCTAAGGTATTGTGCATTGATTGGGTTAATGTTGGTTGACTGGGTCTCTGGTAATTGAAACCCATAACAGCTCTTCTCAAGGTAGTTGTGAGAATTTCTCATATGAAGTAGAACTTTTATTAAATTTTTTTTAAAAAAATTCTAGTTTTGCCCCTCACTGGCATGTCTCTCTGCTCTGTGTTCCACGTACATTGTTATCCTCCAATGCCTCAGCCGAGTGGGCATGTGGGAGTCTTGATGGTGAGTGGCAACAGGTCATTGAAGTACGAAGAGTAGCTGTCCTCACTTGACTGCACACACACTTGCACAACCAGTAGAGAGACCAGGGATCCTGCCTAGTTTTCTCCTTCCTAACCTTGGGAGAACCAGGGCCAATTCAACCTTCCTGTGCAGCTTCAACTGAGACCAGAAAAATAGACTGGGCTTCAAACTTGCAAGCGACTAGTCCATAAACTACAATTCTATCATCAATACTATTGAGGCTAGCCAGGTTGTTTGTAAAGCTTGGAGCAGCACTCAGCTGGCTTTCAATTTGAAGAATCTTACAGACATCCCTCGCTTTGTGGTCAAAAAAATTGCCAGCACATGCAATATGTTTACTCCACCCTTCCCCCCCCCACTCCATCACCTGCTGCCTCCGATCGGTTGGTTCTGGCCTCCTAATTGTCGCTACTATACCCTGAAACTCTGGAACTCTCTTCCTTGATCCCTCCGCTTTCAATCAGGTATCTGGGTGTATCTGGAGGTCAACCCTCTGGAATGCCACTCAGTTGGCAAACTGTGTTTTGACTTCCATGAAATCTGAAAGGAGCCTTTGAAAGCCTATTGTTAGCAGATTATTGCGCCCATTGAGGGCATCACATGTAGAGGTCTCAACATGTTCTCATCTGACATCCACACTTGCACAAACACTTCAACAGCAATCAGAACTGGAAAACCTGCCTTATTTTTTTCCACATCCTAACCCAGAGAATGCTGAGGCCGATCAACTGGTAACAGACCTGCCGCAATTCTAATAATAACTTGCTGTGGATGGAGCACTTTTATCACATCCTCAAAACGTTTTAAAGCACTTTACAGAATGTACTGCACATCGCAAGAACAACAGCTTGCATTGATGTAGCGCCCCTCGTGCAGGGTAGTGTCTCAGAGCGCTAACGTTAACACAACAACGCACCACAAACAACCGTCAAGTAAATGGCCAGATTGACAATTAACTAACCCAGCCCGGCCCAGATTGGGAATTGAATCTACGGTTTCGTGCATCGCTCCCTGATTCTCTTTCTCCAACAAAAGTGCTTTGATTATTTTTTCCAATTAATGTAATTTTCACTTTTCAGCTAATTTTGAAGTCTTTTTGTCAGTGTTTTTTGTCAACTCGTGGGAGTTGGAAACAATGCCCTTCATTAGCAGCGGGGAGGGAGATTTGTATCAATGTGAGAATATAATAATCATCATTATCATCATCATCATCATTATAACTATAATCCTTGGATTTGGTTTAACGCCAGAACATGGAGTGGGTTTAGCGCCAAAAACAAAACAATAACAAAATTGGTCATTTTCAATCCACGACTGTTTGTGGGACGCTGCTGTGCGCAGTCGGCTGCCGCCTTTCGCCCACAAATGTACGGTCAATTCACTTCACAGCACATTCCGTGAAGCGCTTTGAGCCGTCGAGAAGAGGTGAACAGCGCTGTATCAAATGCAAAGGATTAATATTATTATTATAACATTTGTCTTTGACAATCGCTGTGTGTGTGTGTGTGTGTGCAGGTGCACATGGTTTAGGGCTGTGTGGCTTTTGAAGTTGGCGCTGGTTTGGGAGGTGGAGTGTGGTCAGTGCTGAGTGAGTGAGTCACCAATAGGACAGCACAGCCCCCTCCTCCCTCCCTCCCCTCCTCTTTCTCTCTCCCTCCCTCCCTCCTCTCTCTCTCTCTCTCTGTCCTCACTGTTCTGGAGCTCCAGCCGGTCCCACTTTATTGGTGGACAGTCCAGTCCACTCACCCCCACCCCACCAGTGGTGGGTGTCGATGGGCAGCACTGGCACTGGGGCGAAGCAGGTCCCACCAGCCCGTCCCTTGCACACAGCTCCAGGCGAGGGAGAGCCTGAGAAGCCAGAGGGAGAGCCAGAGGGAGAGCCTGAGAAGCCAGAGGGAGAGCCTGAGAAGCCAGAGGGAGAGCCTGAGAAGCCAGAGGGAGAGCCAGAGGGAGAGGGAGAGCCAGAGAAGCCAGAGGCAGAGCCAGAGGAGATCCAGAGGGAGAGCCAGAGAAGGCAGAGCCAGAGAAGCCAGAGGGAGAGCCAGAGAAGCCAGAGGGAGAGCCAGAGCCAAAGCAGCCAGAGAGAGAGCCAGAGGCTCGGCATGTCCCAGAGGTTCTTGGTGACCGCTGTCCACAACGGCAGCGAGGACTTGGCTGCCGAGAGGACCCGCAATGGCACCGGCGCTGCCCCTCAGCAGAGCACTCTACCCATCCTGGAGTACCTCAGGGAGCCCAACAGATACGGTAAGAGAAGGGGGGACGGTCTCCTGGACTCTCCCCCTGACAGGCAGCGGACCCCAGGGCCACCCACCCCCCAGGGCCACCCACCCCCAGGGCCACCCACCCCCCAGGGCCACCCACCCCCAGGGCCACCCACCCCCAGGGCCACCCCACCCCCCAGGGCCACCCCACCCCCCAGGGCCAACCCACCCCCCAGGGCCAACCCACCCCCCAGGGCCAACCCACCCCCAGGGCCAACCCACCCCCCAGGGACAACCCACCCCCCAGGGCCAACCCACCCCCCAGGGCCAACCCACCCCCCAGGGCCAACCCACCCCCCAGGGCCAACCCACCCCCCAGGGCCAACCCACCCCCAGGGCCAACCCACCCCCAGGGCCAACCCACCCCCCAGGGCCACCCACCCCACCCCCAGGGCCACCCACCCCACCCCCAGGCCACCCACCCACCCCAGGGCCACCCACCCCACCCCCAGGGCCACCCACCCCACCCCCAGGGCCACCCACCCCACCCCCAGGGCCACCCACCCCACCCCCAGGGCCACCCACCCCACCCCCAGGGCCACCCACCCCACCCCCAGGGCCACCCACCCCACCCCCAGGGCCACCCACCCCCCCAGGCCACCCACCCCACCCCCAGGGCCACCCACCCCACCCCCAGGGCCACCCACCCCACCCCCAGGGCCACCCACCCCAGCCCCAGGGCCACCCACCCCACCCCCAGGGCCACCCACCCCAGCCCCAGGGCCACCTACCCCACCCCCAGGGCCACCCACCCCCCAGGGCCACCCACCCCCAGGGCCACCAGGGAGGGGGGCGGTGCGGCTTCAAATCCCGGGGCTCACATCTGGGTTCATTTCGGTGAAAATCGAACCAGAGTTAGTTTTTCTCTCTTCTCTCTCCTCTTCTCTCTCTCGTTTTCATTTTGCAAAACAAATGCTGTAAAACTATTATTGACTGCATCCAAACCCCAAATGATGTGTTTTGAGGTTTTTGTTGATGGTGTGTGTGTGTGTGTGTGTATCTCTGTGTGTGTATCTTTGTGTGTGTCTCTGTGTGTGTATCTGTGTGTGTGTGTATCTGTGTGTGTGTGTGTCTGTGTATGTGTCTGTATGTGTGTGTCTGTGTGTATGTGTGTGTGTGTGTATCTGTCTGTGTGTGTATCTGTCTGTGTGTGTATCTGTCTGTGTGTGTGTGTGTGTGAGCGTGTGTGTGTGTGAGCGTGTATCTGTGTGTGTGTGTGTGTGTGTATCTGTGTGTGTGTGTGTGTGTATCTGTGTGTGTGTGAGTGTGTGTGTGTGAGTGTGTATCTATGTGTATCTCTGTGTGTGTGTGTGTGTGAGTGTGTGTGTGTATCTGTGTGTGTATCTGTCTGTGTGTGAGTGTGTGTGTGTGAGTGTGTGTATGTGAGTGTGTATCTATGTGTATCTGTGTGTGTGTGTGTGTGTGTGTGAGTGTGTGTGAGTGTGTGTGTGTGTGTGTGTGAGTGTGTGTGAGTGTGTATCTGTGTGTGTGAGTGTGTGTGAGTGTGTGTGTGTGTCTGTGTGAGTGTGTGTGTGTGTGTTTTGCTGGGTGACTGACCGGTTGCTCCTGGCAGTGTTCAGCAATCTGCTGGATTCCATACATGTACTTTTAAGGGAAGATCTGTTCGTTTTTCCGCTGGTAATGGGAATTGCCATTGGAAGAAGTCCTGCGTTGTGCTGTTTGCGCCCTATTTTGTTTGTGTTTTATTCATTGAGTGGCGCGGTATCCTTTTTTTTAAACAGTGTCATTTTCTCTCCTATTTGTTTATCCGGATCGATACAGCACTTATTGCACAGATTGCACTTTTATTCCCCCCCCCCATCCCCCTTCCTTCTCCACACTTTCTGCCCAACGTGATATCAGAAAAGTAGTTTTAAGACGTCCAATAAATAAGAGTTTTTCACACTCAATTGCCTGTAGATCAGGAGGTCAGTTGCCTGTAAAAGCAAAATAACAAGACGTAGAGAATCCCTTTTTACGGTGTTTGCTCGAAAAAAATTGTATTGCTCTGATAAACGCCCCAAACGCGCAGTTTTTCACTGTCCACTGTAAACTGTATAAATTATATTGAGTGCCTGTAACCCCTGCAGCTCACACACACACAAAAAAAACTTCTACGAAAGTGAGAGTTACATTACAGTGCAGTCTTATTTTATGGCATTGGGCATTTTTTTTTGTTGGATTGCAGTCACTGGAAGTACTGGGTTTCACTTTTGGAAATGAAATCACTTGTACAAACTTCAGCGAATTGCATTGGTTTCAGTGATTCAATCTCTGGGCTTTTTTTTTTAAAAATTAAAAAAAAAAAGAAACCAAAGGAGAAGTGCGGAATAAGGATGTCAAATGTGGTTTGAAAACAGCCTCTGCGTGTTTCTTTTACTTTATTATTTGCTGCTATAAAAAGTGAACGAGTGACTGCTCCTCTCGATTAAGTCGGAATTCACATATCCAGCAGCTAATTTGCAATTGCAGTAACGTGTACCCATTTGGTTCTGACATTATTTTGCAATAGTCGCACCCAAATATACTCTGTAAACTAACATCGTTGAAATGCACATGTCAGTGGATGAACTGCAGTGGGAAATAAGACTGTTCTGGCTGATGATACCACGAGCTGTGCACTTGTGTGAAGTAGTGTGTTTATACAGTATGCTTTAGTTATCATCAGTTTAAACAGAGAGGGCAAAGAGTAGAAGCAGCAATGTTTGTTCGTTCAACTCAATTTCTGCCCTCTTTCCCTCCCAGGATTGGAATAGTTTGTATAAATGTACCGAATGCACTTGGTATACAAGTAACACAACTTGGGAGTTAAATTCTCGCCTGAGGCTGCCTGCAATGTTGTGTTTTGGCAACTTTTTTTTTGCCCACTTTCCATCACCGGTTAAAGGCAATTTGAACAAAATCGCCAACTGACCATCTCATTGGATTTGATTTTGTGAAATGCTATTAAAGTTATTGATACTTTAAATAGAAAATGCAGCTGTCAGGCAGAAGGGTGTAGCGTGACATACTGGGACGATGATCAATACAATAAATAACCCTGCAGCATGTCAAACTACAAAGCCTTTTGATTTGGATTGGTGCTGAATTCTCTTTATATGCAAAAATCAAAGTCTACAGCTCCATGGGCAGTGCACAGATTCTGTTTCATTGCTCATTGGAACAGTGCTATCCAGCAGATTATTTATAGTGCGAGCGTTCAGGGTCAGAAAACGACTGCAACCCATCGCATAATTCTGCCATTTAACAGTGGAAAGGCCGCAATGACATTGTATCCATCAGTCAACCGCATGTGTCGCTCTATACCACTGCGGATGGTTGATCGGAAAATGCCAGAAGCGTTTGCTGTCTGACTTACATTGGACTCTGGCCAGTTACTGTACAGGTACTTCAGTGCTGGCCAACTTTTTTTTGGGTGGCCAACACAATAATCATAAAGATGCTAAAATAGTGTAGATTTACGCCACAATTCAAGAAACATTCAATCAAGAAACATTTTTTTTTCTGACCAACCACAGAGGTTGTCCACCATCTGGTTACTTGAACAACGTTAAAGAGGCTGATTGACAATATCCTGCACTCAAACCCTTGTGTTGTTCAGACTAATGAGTGCTTCAGGTTGTTGCACAAGAGAGTAGTCTGGGGAAGTATTCTTAGTTTACTCTTTGCTTTCATTGAGTAAACCAATTCATCCTTATTACTTACCCCGTTTCCATTTTGAAGAGAATTGAAAGGAAGGATCACCTCTCAGTCAACAAGTTTAAGATTATGTCACAAACATTTGAGGACATGTTGATTTCTGAAACGTGCGATTCTTTATATCCTATGAAACTCTTTGAGATGCTATATCAAATCTCTTGTGGTCTTAAAAAAATTGTCCAGATTTTTAAAAAAATTATTAAATTCCCTCTAATTTTTGGGGCTGTTTTTCCACAGTTTTTTTAAAAAACGTTTTTAAGACATTAAGACTGAGTTTAAGAATTTTCAAAAATTCTGTTCAATCTTTATTTTTAGGACTTATGGCTGAGTTGGAATTTCAGCCATCTGGGATTATAACCTTGATATACTGTAATGCCATGTTATTATTTGGAGGACTTTCAGCTCCTTTCCTCGCAGCTCAGTCATTTCATTTTGAATTAGGTAATTATCTTCACAAGTGTTGCTTTGGTGTTTAAATTTGTCCTGTGTTAAGTGAGCATATCAAACATTTTTGCCCCCTTTTCTACATGTTCCAACCCACTACTCTGCTTGCTCGTGAGGGTGGCACTGTTCATTGCACTGAGGGGCATATCAGTATTAAAATAAATTGACAATAATCCTTACATTTGGTGTTGTGCCTTTCACTTTAGGAGGATGTCCCAAAGAACTTCACAGAATTTACTGTAAAATGCGGTGACTCAGTGTCTTGTGGGCGAAACATGGCAGCCAATTTGCGCACAGCAATGTCCCACAAACAGCCATGAAGTGAATGATTCATTTCTGTTTGGGAGTTTGTTGGTCACAACACTGGGAGAAACCCCTCTTTTTTGAATTGTTTCATGGGATCTTTAACATCTTTTTATAAATCTTTTCTTCTTGTTACTTCTTTATGAAGTTCTTGGAAGACATGCTTAACTTTCTGGGACCCTCTTCCCAGCCAACTTTCCTTTACTTCCAACCACATGATTCAGGCATGACTGCCCATCAGAATGTTCCCTTATGGTGAAAATACTGCAGATATTTAGGGGATGTGGTCATGCTGAATATTTGTAGTATTAGCTGGTTGTTATTTATTTCTGAAGGGTCAAGTTTAAAACTATATTCTGGTGTGCGTGCTGCCCTAGATGTTCAAAGACAACCTTTGTTGGAAGATGTTTAGCTGTTGAGGTTTTGTTGCTAATTGATTGCAATTCTGTGTCCCTCACACAGTCAGGGGGCTGATCAGGATCAATAGGTTGGTGCTTTTACTATTTCCGATGCTATCTTTTATCCTTTAGGCAGTTT